AATGGCCCAAATGTGAAATCTGAAGAAACACAGAGTAGATGGGGCAGACTCTAACTGAGAAAGAAATTATTTACTGAATTAAAAGATAAAATGGAAGAAGTTTAAAACCTTAGAATTCAGGTGGTTCAGGCACTTGAATATACAGTGTTGGCTGCATTATTAGTTACAGAACAAGAGAGGAAAGGTGATAGGTATAGAGGTGTTCAAATTTAGTGACAGTCTTGCTAAATGGTGTGTTGGTCTAAGACTCCATTGAATCTAGTCTTGGAGAAAGAGCTGCCTTTCTCCTATGTTTAACTCCACAAAATCCTCACCTTGGAAGATTCAGTTCCCATCAGTCTGAGGTAGTAAAACATCTTTATAACTTTAGGAATATTTTTAACAATAGCTAAAACAAAAAGGAATCTGTGCTTTACTGTTGATTTGATAATACTAATTTAACAATTATGTATGAGAATTCTCAGTCTTTGAGCATTCTCTTTCATTGTGTTTTATTCTAATATATGAATAGACATGTATCCACAGTTATTTATCATCCTTAGTGTTTGAAGACAAGTTGTGGATGTATTCTTTTTTTTTTTTTTTTTAAGAAAGAATCTTGAGCAGACTTCACACCCAGCACAGCCCAACATGGGGCTTGATCTCACGACCCTGAGATCATGATCTGAGCCAAAATCAAGAGTCAGATGCTTAACTGACTGAACCACCCAGGCAGCCTGTGTGTTCTTATTCATATATACAGAGTGGTTTGAGTGAGGATATTTAAACTACTAGAGATTAAGGGAAGCTTTATCAAAATTAGTGAAAAGCCTCAATAATTTTTTAAAAACAACAAAATAAGTGCAGTTATGTAATTCTTTTAAGAGTAATATTCCAACTTTGTTGTATCTTCAGTATAGGAAGATATTCTAATAACTTCATAAGTTTGAATTATTTTATCAGTAGTCAAAATGTTAAACATTTGTACAGTGCTTGAAAATAGTTTATACTCAAGTGTTCTGGATATCATCCCTGCAGTCAGGTTCATTGCTCATCAAGATCACTGTCTTGGGCGCCTGGGTGGCTCAGATGGTTAAGCGTCTGCCTTCGGCTCAGGTCATGATCCCAGCGTCCTGGGATCGAGTCCCGCATCGGGCTCCCTGCTCCTTGGGAGCCTGCTTCTCCCTCTGCCTCTCTCTCTCTCTCTCATGAATAAATAAAATCTTTAAAAAAAAAAAAAAAAGATCACTGTCTTGGTAGAAATAGCTAGCAAGGCTAAATCATCCTGGCCCCTGCTATATGAACTATGACAGATTCTGAGTGGAATTTCTATTGTATTGAATGGCTGTAGGTTGTGTTTTTTTCTGTGTGGATATATCTAGGTATGTACATAAATATGTTTTTAACTATTATAGATGTTAGTATGTTTGGGGTTGTTTCTTTTCCATGGACTGCATTTTTAAGTGTGTGGTCCCACTAATTGGTTGCCCTACATTGGTTCAGGAAGATCTTGGAGGAATAAATGAGTAAAGGTAGATTGCAAATTAGGAGGTAAGTAAATGACATTTAGGTGATCAAAAGTAGTAATGAGTGCTAAGAAAAAGTGTGGTTGATGAGAATAGTAGAGAATGAGAATATTCAAGAAGAGATACACCTGGGATGAATCTTGACTTGCTGAACTGATTCCTTAATCTGTACATTAAATAGTTAGTAGGAAGTTGTAAAGGATGGAGGGATAATCTATAAGTATTTGTGCTTGAACTGACATGGTTAGAACAGGGAGGAAGACACCAAACCATAAGCTAGTCTAGAACAGTGGCTTCTCACTTTTTGAACAAAGCCGATGAACTGGAACAAGAAACTCTAATCCCATCTTGCCTCTTCCCACATCTTCTCGAGCTGCTCTGTGACCTTGCACAAGCTATTTAACTTCTCTAAGCCTCTGTTTCCAGTAGGGAAAGTAAGAGTGGATAGGTGCTTTAAAAGTGTACTAAGTTCAAGTAGGAGTTGAAGACCAGATGGAAGGCAGTGTGGACTCGTAACCAGGGTTCTCTTTGTGTTCTCTCTCCCACTGAAGGCTTAGTCTAGACTTGAGCCTTGTGAAATTCTGTTCTTTAGAAGGAAAAATACAGTTTCTTTTCAGCCAGAAGAAAAGAGTATGCCCAAATTAATCATATTATCCTTAGTATTTCAGTATTACCCTGAGTAATATCATATGTATGTTATTAAGAGAAGTTAGGTGTTTGGGACAGAAATTTTTCTGTCTTATGCTTCTCTTTCACCATCTTATATTTATTTCAGTTTCTCATTTTCTTGTATAATTATTTATGCTTACAAAGCCAAAAACCTGACACTTAAATAATGGCACCGTGCAGCCTGAAGTAGCCAGCTTGTCTCCTTCCGGTCTTTTCTCCTCATATATTTCACGGCCATCTGTCTGTGCCGTCTCTCTCCTTGGTGTAATTAAAAGATGAAAACTGTCTTTAGTGTTTCCTAAACTTTTAGAACCTGGATGTTCTTTGAAATTATGGCAGACTTATAGGCAAGTTGTTGAAATTATCTTTTGGGTGTTAAATAGCAAGAATACTCTATGAACTTAAAAAGAAGTGTCCGTAAATTACTGTAACCCGGGCTTTCATTGTGTTTGAAATATAATTGAGGAGATGCATACCTCCTGCAGCAAGTCCTTTCTGGCAAATGCTAGAGTTGAAATTGTCAAGTCAGAACATGAACCTTTTCAGCCAGCAGTAACGGTTTCAGAAGGGCATGCATTCAATGTCATTGTAAGAGAGCACTAAAGACCCTCAGACCCTGCCCTGGACTCCAGACTTAGAGAACTCCTCCTCTCTTCTGGTCACGCCCCTCCCACAGGATGAGAAGTATGCAAGGCCAAGAAATGTCCACCTCAGTTCACCCTCTTTCCTTCAACAACTGCACGCTAGGTATCTGGAACCCAGAATTCCTGCTCAAATGGCCCCAACTTCACTTGCATTCAAGGAGTGGCCAAGGCTGTTTATGAGGAAAGCAAGAGGATGAACTTAAACATATGGGCTGGTGTGTCCACACCTGCATAAAGCTCCACTCAGTATCAGGCAGAGCCTGAGGTGAGAGAAGAAGGGGGTGGCGGGGGGGCTCTCATCCCTCTGCCATCTTCCTGCATAGAACTCTGAGGAGTTCAAGAATCCTGAATTTGAACCTAACCTTCTAGGACATTTTGAAGGTATATTTCAAGGTACAGCAAAGAACATATTTTATTTAACTGTTATTCATCTGATTTATAACTTTTACATGTTTAGACATATAGTATGTGGGTCTCTGATTGTGTTCTCACTCTGGGTCCCAGAAAGGAAGGGACAAGGAAATCATTTGAACCTTCATTTCTCCTTCTAGATGAGCCTATGTCCATTGATCCTTTGTCAGTCTAATACTGGATTAGGTGTTCTAGGATAACTTTACAGTGATTCCTTTAGCTGTAATCCGGTCTGAGCTATGCCTTGGCACTAGAATGAGGTGACTTCAGTAATGCCCCTTGGTTTTGGTGTGTTATGCTGCACTCTAAATTTATGTGTGTCCTGAGCTACCAGGGGGGCAGGTGGAAAGATTTAGTGACCAGGGTCTTTAGGGCCCGAAGGGACAAGGGAAGAAGAGAAGTTGGATGAAACCATGCCCAAAATGATTTCTTAGGATTATAAGTGAATTTTAATTTTCCATAAACCATTGATTATTAAGTGTTGGGCCTTCACTTTTCCTATAATCTGTAGTAAATCTGTACTTACTTAAATATTTTTAGGTTAAAAAAAAAAGTGAGAATAATTAGGTTAAGAAATACATTATCAGAGTTGATTCCTTTCCATCTCTGTAAATGCTGTTTTGTAAGACAGGAAATAACAAAACAAACCAGTATCATTAGTCTAGTCTGGCATGCTGTTTATGTCCACAAGAGTTTTGTAAGTGAAAATATTAATGCCTTCAGAATTTCTGTAACAAGTTCTTCTAACTTAAATAGTATTCTCTTGCTCTGTATACAAATAATATATATTTCCTGAGCTTGGGATATTAATTTTAAATATTTTCAGTACTTATGGAAACAGTTTGTTCCTTTTTATTTATTTGTATATTAGTAGCACAAACTGGGAATTTTCATTTTTCATTTAAATTAATTTTCCAGGTAATGAAAACTTACACCCTTAAACATAAAATTTTATTTTTTTTGTTTTAATCATTTCTTGACAGTTAAAATGTTCTATAATTTATACACAACATAGAGAAATAGAGTGTTTATTTTTCCTATGTTTATCAAAATTATTTCATAGTACTAATATTGTTAAACCTTAAATACTTGAATTTTAAGACCACGCTGTAAGAAAAGACTTTAGAATGTAGATTTCTTGATTATCAAATATTTTTCACATCTGTAATGTAGTTATATAGCTGTGAGTAATTGGCTTAAAAGATGAAATTATTTAAAAAGTGAATTTATGAAGAAATAAATTAGGTTTTAACTTCTTAAAATGTAATGCTTTTACTATGCTATAATTAGATATGAGGAAGTAAGACTCACTTAATAGTTTGTTTTTCAACCTACAGAAGTACTGGCAGGTTTTAGAAAATAGGTATCTCAGGAAATAAAATGAAATTCCAACTGTAAGATTTTCAGACTACTGATGAATTTTTTTTTTTTTTAAGATTTTTTATTTATTTGCGAGAGAGAGAATGAGAGACAGAGAGCATGAGAGGGGGGAGGGTCAGAGGGAGAAGCAGACTCCCTGCTGAGCAGGGAGCCCGATGCGGGACTCGATCCTGGGACTCCAGGATCATGACCTGCGCCGAAGGCAGTCGCTTAACCAACTGAGCCACCCAGGCGCCCCAGACTACTGATGAATTTTTAAAGTGCGTAGGCATTTTAGTGAATTTCAAGCTTGCGAAAGCGTTGAAGCTGAATCTGTGCTTTCACTTAGTGGGTCTGGTGTTACTTCTTATTTAATTTACTCATCGATAAGAGAAAATGAATTGCTTTCTAGGTTTGTACTACAGAAAGTGCCAGTTAATTTCCAAGGAAGGCGTTACTCATGATACGAAGCTTTTCTGCCTGATGCTACCAGCAAGCACTCATCTTCAGGTGCCAGTTGGGCAACATGTTTACCTCAAGCTAACTATTACAGGTAAGGTAATAGAGGCTTTGGGGAAACATTTTCTTTATATAAAAGCAGTTCCAAATCCGTACTAATCTTTTAGGAAGTACCCGTTTAGGTTCTTAATACATGTTTCTGGCAGCTGAGTGAGTGATAGCCCAGTTCTAGGTTTGTAGATGCAGCGTTCCAACATGTTGGAGCCATAGCCACACCATAGCGTGTGGGGGCAGAGACCCTGCCACTAGTCGGGGAGAGAGAGTTCCACCAGCACTGAAAGGTACTCCTCACAGAACCCTCAAGGGAAGAGGTGAGGGAGTGCTCAAGTAGTCCTGTAAGGGGAAACGACTAGAAACACATGCCGGTATCTCTTAATAACCACGTCTGCTTGTGTCATTTATGGAGTTGAATTTATAAAATTCAAAAGGAGTGGATGATTATAAATGATTTCCTTCCATCTGCCACCGGGATAAGCAGCTCTATAAAGATACTCCTTACTGGGAATTTTTCCCCTCGTTTTCATCCTGAAGTTACCTTATGTACTTGTTTTAAATGCTCTTCTTAGCCACGTCTAACATTTTCTTGGCCTTTCAAAGCTGCTGAAGGCCACATTCTCACATAAGTTCTCAGTGTTTCCCGCAGTCAGTCTAGCCAACTGCCAGTTAGGACTTGGTCGGTACAACATACCACCACAGCTCGAGGAAGTTCCTCCCTTCATCGTCACCAGTGCCAGGTGTCATTCAATAGCTGGTAGGCTCCCCAGCGCAGTTACTGTCAATGGATTAGAATTTACAGGTAGATTAATTCTGTATATGTCAAGGAGCCACGTAGAAGATGTTGGTCTTTTCAATTGTGATGACTCCTCTTTCTATGGAATTTGGCTAGCTAAAAATATAACATGAATTCTTATTAAATTTATCCTGTTTTTTTAATATTATATTCTTAGAGCTAGTTGGATTAATATTTTTTCCTTCAGTTGCCAAAGTAACATATTTCAAAACATTAAAACAATTCAAAATATATAAAGTAAAGTGAAATCTTCCCTTTCTCAACCCAAATGATCCCCGTGGCCATCAGTACCCATTGTTAAAAATTTGGTACATAATTAAAATTATTATGTAAGTACTTTCTTATATCTCTGTGTAAACTTTTGATGCCTTTTTTTTGTAGCCCATTACAAAGTTTATATCCTGATAGAACAGATGGTTGTCTAAGTTTATTACCATAAATCCCTATCATCTTATGCCACACTTAATAAAAATACATTGTTTATATGATGTGTAAAGTATTGATTTGTGTAAATTATTTCGGCATGCATAGGCTTGGGATACATTTACACACACACATACTATATATAGAAAATATACTTAGAATTATATATACATTAGATGTACAGTTTTAAATATGTACTGATAGCATCATAAAATTAGTATGTTTGATCATTATTCAGAGCTTTGGAGATTTTTAGAATTGAATTTCTTTGTCATGACTTTTTCTAGGTACTGAAATTGTGAAGCCATATACACCTGTATCTGATTTCTTACTCTCAGAGTTCAAGGAACCAGTTCTTCTCAACAATAAATACATCTACTTTTTGATCAAAATCTATCCTGCTGGACTCTTCACACCAGAGCTTGATCATCTTCATATTGGTTAGTATTCTTTTTTTAACCTCATTTGTGTTCTAGATTGGATTACATGTTACATACACTGTCTTCTAGTTATCTGCATGTGGGAGTCCATGAAATAATGAAATTCAACATGTCTACAACTGAAGTCATGTTCTCTTTGTCCCACCAACCTATCCTTACTCCCACATTCCTCATTTTTATTATTTACAGCATCACTGTTCGTCCTGGACCCAGTCTGCAGGCTTGAGTCATTCTTGACTCCATTTTTGCCTTCCCAGTCCTGTCTGCCACTAAGTTCTAGTCACTTTTTACTCATTCTTTTCTATCCCTTCTGCCACCCTCTCAGATCAAGACTTCATCATTTCTCTCATGACCTCTGTCTCTCTCAGTTGCCTCTAACTGTGTCTTTCTCTTTCTGTTTATCTGCATTTCCAAAGTACCCTGAGGATAGATTTAATCAGGTTGTTCTGCAGCTTTGAAACTTCTGATGGGTGTCCATTACTTAACTGATTAAGTCCTCTACATGTCATTATGTCTCAGCACAGATTTTCCTGATCTCTCCAGCTTCATCTCTCCATGTAACTACTTGTGTGAATACTACTCAGAGTTCCACAAGTTTATCATCCTCATTCATAGGTACATGCAGGTGCCTCATATAGGATGCCTGTCACCCCTTTCTCTACCTGTCAGGTAGCCTTTTTTTTTAAAGACCGAAACAAAATATCATGTCCTTTATGAAGCCTCCTTTCTCCTGAACCCCTCAGTAACTAACGCTTTGTTCATAGCTCTAGGATAGGAATAAGTAATATTCCTTCTTTACAGAACTTTGAGTTTGAGGGCAAAGATTGTGTTATCTTTGTAGTTCCCATACCTAGCATGGCAATTGGCACATAATAGGGTCTCAATAAATGTACTTTGAAAGAACTAATAAAAAGACTATAATGACATCTATTAAGATGTCAAGACCCCTGTTCCTGTTTCTGTTCCATTTTCTGCATCTGCAACTTTTCACTGCCTTTTGTTTAACAGTAAAAGTGCTCTTCCCATTTCTAACACAGCTTTAGCAGTAACATCGAGTACCAGTGAAGTAGATCACTAAAATTTGGAAATAAAATTTGTTGCATTTTGAAAGTTAAGCCAGTCTTTACATGATGGATGTGATTAGTCCTCTTTGATTACATAAATCAAAGTACTGAATATAAATGTGAACCTAAAGAATCTTGGAATGCCTGCAAATCTAGCGAAGGTGACTATCATCTTGTGGTAGACTGACGCATGATTGTAATATAGCATGTGGAAACTGAACCCATGTTATTATACCCTATTTATAGAGATTGCGTGAACAGAGCAGGGTGGAGAATTAGCCTGGAGCATGGAAAAGGAAAGCCCAAAGAACAAGATCAGTGTTTTTTCAGCTTCATCCAGGGGAGCTAGACATAGCGCAAATACTTGTGTCACTTAGAGGGTGACATACTGGCTTGGTAGTGATAACTCGTGAAGCCTCATCACGGCCTACATGAGCTGCCCTATGAAATTATCCACTTCTTTGTTTCAATTCCATGTTCACCAAGCAACTCTTTTATGATTATTTTGGCCTTCCAAATGTTCTGATACTGGGAATGAGATGCCTCGGGTGGGGTATGTAAGGTTCAGGTCGCTAGGTGCAGATAGCCTTCTGTAAGTCAATTGCTGTTCTGGTAGGCCTACTTTAATATCTTGTGAACTCGATTAAAATCAGGTCCCTTGCCGAGTCTAATCAGTTTTCTGACATTGGAAAGACTGGACTGCTGACAAAATACTCAAGTTAGCCTCATTCTTTGAGGCATCGCCAGTAAACAGCCAGCTTACTTTTTCGTGAAGACATTCTGATCTTATGGTCCTTTTGAACTAGAACAGGGAGCTTCTGTTCCTTTCCAGTACTTAATTCATCAGTTACTGCAAGATTCTTACTATCCTGCTATGGACAAGAAGGAAAATTTATGAGCATTGAAAAAAAATAAATCAAAGTATTTGAAATTGTTTTTAAAATGTTTAACTTTATTTTTTTTATTTTAAAAATTACATTGGAAATTTCTGAAATGTCCTAAAGGCAGTTCTCTTATATGAGTGGTACATAGTGATTATATCAAATGCACTGCAAATGATTTTTTGCAAATATTCTTATTCTAGATTGAGAAGTCACGTGCTCTAAGTACAGTTTCTGGTCTTTGTTTTTATAGGCATTAAATTCAGAACAGCTGTTGTTTTAATCATAGGTTTTTTCAAAGATTTGATGGAGGTGACATTAGCACATTTACTAACACGTGACTGTAGAATACATTGCTATTTCAGTTTTCTCTCCTAGTTTTATTGCTCTGGCTATGAATCAATACGAAAGTAGTGAGTTATATATTCTCCACCTTGTACTGTGCAAGGCAGGTATACATGGACTTTACTTTTGAGGCGCTTATAATTTAGTTTAGCAATCAGTTCTTTACTGATAACTGATACTTAAATACTTGTCACTACTTTGTAAATTAGAGACTCCAGATGGTTTGGGAAAATAATTATGGGAAATGAGTATAATAAAGCCTCATTATTAATTTGGTTAGAATGATGTAATCCGAGTATACTTGGGGGCTTAATGAGTATTCCCAAAACTCCTTATACATTTTAAAGACTAAGCTGTAGTCCGAAAGTTATACATTCACCCTGTTACTCATCAGTGTTCTAAATTCAAGTAGCTTAACCTCCGTTTCCCTGATTTTTTTTTTTTTCTGATTTAGTTTGTATTTCATTGTTTAGGAGATTTTGTTTCCGTAAGCAATCCTGAGGGCAATTTTAAAATATCCCAGTTCCGAGAATTAGAAGATCTCTTTTTATTGGCAGCTGGAACAGGCTTCACACCAATGGTTAAAATACTGAATTATGCTTTGACTAACATACCCGGTCTCAGGTATGTAATTTTATCTTTAATTACTGTCCTTTGTGAGGCTGTTAGATTAGTATGAGGTGTTCTAAATTAATTAAATACTCAGTGGACCTTAATAGACATATTCTCATTCCCTCATTTACCATTTCTTACCTGATGCCCTCCAGTCCTAGCTGTTTTACTAACTTGATTCTTTTGTTTTTGATACTTTTGGTTACCTAATTGGCACTAAAAAAACATTTCATGCCACTTTACGTTTAGACTTTTCCTTTCATGCGTGTGTTTAATGTAATCGAAATAGTTCTTTTTGAGTTGTTGTTGTTTTTTCTTTTAAGGAAAGTGAAGCTGATGTTCTTCAATAAAACAGAGGATGATATAATTTGGAGAAGCCAGTTGGAGAAATTAGCATTTAAAGATAAAAGGTATTAAACTGGTGTTAGCTCTGCATTTCAATATTCAAAAATGTGTAGTCAGTCTAGGCCTTATCTTCTTTGATTGGAGTTTTTAATTGGCCAGGAAGCTCCTTCAAAGACAAAATAAGCTAGTCAGTAATTCTTTCAATGTAAGCAATGTTAATTCCCTTCCCCCAAAGAAATACTGTTCAATAAGATTAATATGACATCATATATGTATCAATAAAATGTATACTGGGCTTTACGTTTGTGTGACTTATACTGAGTTGGGTTTCATTGAAAATGACATAGTATAGCCAATTTGATAATTCAAGATTTTCTTGTTATAGTGGGTACAAATCAAATAAATGTGATGAGATGGACTAAGCAAAAATAAGTATCTTTCTTTAGTACAGAATTTCTTAGTGCCTTTAATATGCTAATGTCCATTGTGACTTCAAGATGGGGGCTTCCTTATACATTGTTAAGATTTTAAGATTTTCTTTATTTTTGTCTATTTACGTTAACACTGATTAACGGCTGTGGTCCTCAGTGCGCACCTTGGAAACTGCTGGGATAGGCAGTAGAGAAAAGCTTGAGTTAGGCCAAACTGTGGTAAAATGAAAGAGCATGGGAATCTGTTTCATTAAAAAAAGCCCTAGCATAGCCAGCTGAAATAAGATAATTGAAATGGCTGTATGCCCCATGTGCCCTAAGCAGATTTAAAAGTGGTAGGAAATTTTAAAGGAATTGTTTAGAAGAGTGAATTGGACTAGCTGTCATACTTTCTAAAGCATTTCTAGAGCTATTTTTAAGAAATTCGGGGCTCTATAAGGACTTCACACAAAATACATGAAGTAAATACGCTGAGGATCGTACACTACAGATAAAATTCTAGGCCTTTTGAAAGTTAGAGTTAAAGACGTCAGAAACTCAGCTGTTCAGGGGCTCCGTTTCTTGTGCATACTTTCTGAGCATCCTAGCTAAGGGAATGCTTGGCCACCTCTGGCTTTTCCTCCATCCTCCTCTTCCTTCTCTCTTCATAAATAACATTCACAAGTTAAGGACGACCTGAACTTATTTATCCTTGAAGTATTTAGTCTTCTTACATACTTAAACCATAAACCTCTAAGAGCATTTACTATTATTTAGGTAGTTATATGGCAGTTTAGAGCATGGTTTAGAGAAATACAAATTCCTGGGTACAAGTGTCTTTTTTGCTGTTTTCAAAGAGGAAAATTAGAAGCAGCATGTATCAAAAAGCCTAAAGCCCTAATTTTGAGTTTTCATTCTGCTCTTCACTAGCTTGGAACTTATTCAGAAATTACTTAGCTCTTTGGGCCTCTTTATCTTCAAAATAAAATAATGACATATTTCCTGCTTACTTCATAAGGCTGTAATGTGAGGATTAGAGAAGATTGTATAACTGCCTTGAAAACTGGGAAGCCCTACCTCAAGATATCTGAATTGTGGTTTAGAAGAACTCTACCTACCTGTGTTTTGTTTCTGTATTAACTGTGTGAGCTCCTGTTTTCCTAACCAAATATTTAAAATAATTTAAACAGCATAGCTAGGCTTTTTTACTTTAGGTTTTTAAAAAAAGTATTTCTGGCAGTGTTTTGACAAATTTATTTTTTAAGATCGTTTCCTTGTACAAGAAGATGCATTTACCATTATTTGAATGAACAGACATTGTCCATTTAGTCTTCCAATAGGAGTTAAACTTGATTTAAGAAGTATTTGGTATAAAGAAATGTGTTGACAGCCTCTGAATATACAGTGTGTTTCATTTCATTTCGTTTTGTTTTGGTCTACATAATTTGGGTTGGTGGATTACATAGGCTGGAGTGTTGAGGTGAGGCAAGACCCCTTTTTCACATCTGGGTGACTGGTCTAACTGGTGCCTTGCAGAGAGAAGTGCTAGTGTTCTGACTTCTGGCCTGCCTTTATCCTCCTTCTTCTCCTTCTTTCTCTTCTTGCTCTCCGTTCTCACTCCTGTGTGTGCTCTCTCTCTCTCTCCCTTTCTCTCTCTCCCCTCACTGACCTCCTCCTTCCTCTTCTCGGAGACAGAGCTGTCCTTGCATGAGGCACTCTGTTGGCACTGACGTCTAACGTTGTATAACGTATGCTCCCTGGAGACTCCTGTTGGGCCCTCACTGGAAAACAGAAAGGCTGTGCTTGTAGAGATGGCTTTGGAGTGTTTATCAGCAATGTTACCATATTCTGAGGCTTTATGAGAAAGCTAGCCATAAAAGTTTGTAGATGGGTTTTGTAGCACTATTGATTATTGAGTCCCATACAAAAAAGGAAAGTAAAAGTTGAGATTTAATATAAGGTTATTTTAGTTAGTCACATCTGTATTTCAGTTAGCATTTAAGGCTTCGGTTTTTCCATTTGTAGAATAGGGATATCAATACCTACATCATAGAATTGTTTGGTCAATGAGGGAGTGTATATGTAAGTGCCAAGCCCAGAATTAGCATATTTGTAACATTCATTCACTGAATACATGTGAGCTTCTACCATGTGCCTATATACAGGGGTACGACAGTGAACAAGATACTGTGTTGGTTTATTTTCTAATGCAGTCCATGGAATGTATCTCTTCATTTACCCCCATTGCTAAACAGTAGAATTGTGCAAAACACAGGTATATCATAAGAACTTTTTTTGGGATATTTCTATTTCAATCAAATTTCCATTAAGTATAAAATTTTTTTTTGTTTGGGCGCCTGGGTGGCTCAGTTGGTTAAGCAACTGCCTTCGGCTCAGGTCATGATCCTGGAGTCCCGGGATCGAGTCCCGCATCGGGCTCCCTGTTCAGCGAGGAGCCTGCTTCTCCCTCTGACCCTCCCCCCTCTCATGTACTCTCTCTCATTCTCACTCTCTCAAATAAATAAATAAAATCTTTAAAAAAAAAAAAATTTTTTTGTTTTTAAAGATTTTATTTACTTGACAGAGAGAGACACAGTGAGAGAGGGAACACAAGCAGGGGGAGTGGGAGAGGGAGAAGCAGGCCTCCCCTGGAGCAGGGAGCCCGATGCGGGGCTTGATCCCAGGACCCTGGGATCATGACCCGAGCCAAAGGCAGACGCTTAACGACTGAGCCACCCAGGAGCCCCTCCATTAAGTATAAAATTTGAGCAGAAAAGAGCTTACTTGAATTTTGTCCAAGTATGTTATTACACTTGACTCTTAACTCCAGTAGTTAAGACTCCATTCACAACATTTCAGATCTAGCAAAATCTCACACATTTATTTTTCTTAAGAAAATTGAGAGAAAACAGAAGGCAAAAATGTATGGTAGTAGATGTAGCTAATTACTATGTAAACTGGAATGCAAATTAAATTTCACTTATCTTTCTCTTGACTACTGAACGGTGTTATGCATGAGGTCCCATCCCAGCAGAATGCCCTAGCTGTGTGAGTTCTCAGCTTTTGTAGAATGATTTTTGAGGGGTGGGATAGCTTGACAACGAGATTGTCTTGTGGGCAACATTTTGTAATATATAAATGTAACAAATGTTTTCCTTTAGTTTCAGAGCAGTCATTTTTGGAGAAAATAACCTTCTTTTAGTAAAGCTATCTGTCTCTATCTGACACACAAACACGTGTGCACGTATACATACCCATCTTTTTGTTTTGCATTTTTTAAACAATGTAGTCATACTGACTGTATGTTTTATAACTATATTTTCTACTTAGTGTATTATGCCTATTCTGTGTATAGAATACTTTAAACCAGTGGTTCTCCATCTGGAGTAATTTTTGCTGCCACCTCAACTCCCCCCATCCCGTCCCCACCCCCTGCCATGACTTCGGCGGAACTGAAGAACATTTGTCTGAGAACATTTTTTTATCCTCACCACGGAAGGCATCTAGTTAGTAGAGGCCAGGAAGTCTGCTAACTTCCTACAGCACACAGGACAGCCTCTCGCTACAAAGAAATATCCATCCCCAAATGGCAGTAGTGCCAGTTGGGAAAACCTGCACTGTACCATGACTTTTCATAGCTGCGTTATATTCAGTCATGTAAGCATACCATGATTTATTTAACCAATCCCCTGCTGTTTGGCATAGTGATCAGAAGTTGTTCTGTACCTCTCTATACAGGATAAAAATTCATCAGAAGAATCATCAGATCAGAGAATACCAAGGCTATTGATATATTTTGACAAATAGCCTCTAGCAAGGTGAAGTACCCAGCACAGAATATTGTACCCCGCACACTTAATATGTCAGTGTCCTTATTTTTCCTTTAGAAAGGATGAGGTTAACGTTTAGGGCATAAGGGAAAGAGAAAGGGAAAGGGATTCCAAGCAGCAAAGGAGTGGGGCACAAAGGACAGGGGATTGTGTACCCCGTTATAGGCACCAGTGGATCACTTGCATCACTTCAGATGTCTCTGTGCTCACTATTTGCGAAACGTGCTTAATGTTGGGAAAAGATGCAGAGTGAGTAAGAATACCCTAGTGGTGGTGAAGTTCTGAGGGTCAGCGGCAACTGTAAAGTCTGTACCTTGAGAGGAACAAATCCTATGTTATAGAGGTCTAAGAAGAGGAAAGAGTGGATCTGCTTTCTGAGGGTGGGGATGGCAAAGCTTCAGTGGAGGAAGGGGCTTTGAAGTTGGGCTTTGGGAAGCAATTAGCATTTCTGTGAACAGCAAAAGGAATTTGGGTAACAGGATTTTAGGAGCAAAAAACCACAAGGGCCAGTATGTTGAGTGATTAAGCATTTAGCAAAAGAGCACAGTCCAGTTTCATTGGACTATATACAGTGCATGATGGAGAACAATGTGAAATAACTGCAAAAATAAAACCATTAATTAGATCTATTTAGAAGGAATCTTAGTGGTGATCACTTTGAATCTTCTTGTTTTGCAGCCGAAGAAACGGTAGATTAAAATCAGGGAATGGAAGACCTTAAGTATAATTCATATATCAAATAAGTGTGTACAGAGTGGGCATGGAAAGCTCCAGCCACATGGAAAGGAAGCTCATCTCCCTTTATTACTGACAGGCTCTGTAGATAATGACTGGCTCTGTTTCTGTACTCTGATTTCCGCATCAGGACTAGCAGTGTTTCAGTCCACTTGAGATAGCAAAAGCTGATGACTTCAGAGGCACAAGTAAATTGAAAAATGTGCCCGAGCCCCTTTTTCTCTAGCCTGTGGTGTGCTCAGATATGTGGGCCCCTAATCTGGACCCTTAAGCACTGTGTTCCTCCCAGATGTCCCTCAAATGGTGTGTTTCTTGGAATGTGTTTTTTGAAATATTCATGTGTTCCCCTCTAAAGGGCTCTGTGAATAAAAAGTTTGAGAAAGAATGTATACTATATTACCTTCTTGAAGATTTGCTGGAAATTAGCATATTCAAGGTTTTGAGAAATTTTGAAGAAATCTATTTAACTTTTCTTAACCCAGTAGTCCCAAACTCATTTGATAGGTTAGCCTTTTCTCATGGATTAGCATTAACATCAGGAAGAACACTAGTATTTCATCAGATTCGTTTTGAGAAGTGTTTCCATAATATATATATTTTATCAAATTTTAATCCCTAGCTGTTTATTTTGTGAGTTTAGTTTGTGAGTTTTCCTGTGAGCAAATAGCAAGTCTTCTTGCTGTTTCTGGTATTTTTTATTAAGTTTTTAATTTTGATTCCAGTATAGTTAACATGTTCTGTTAGTTTCAGGTGTAGAGTATAGTGATTCAACAATTCTGTACATGACTCAGTGCTCATCATGATAAGTGCACTCCTTAATCCCCATCACCTAGTTCACCCATCCCCACCCACCTCCCCTCTGATAACCACCTGTTGTTCTCTATAGTTAAGTGTTAGCTTCTTGGTTCGTCTCATTCTCTCTTTTTTCCGTTGCTCATTTGTTTTGTTTCTTAAATTCTGTGTATGAGTGAAATCATATGGTATTATTCAGCCACAAAAAAGAATGAAATCTTGCCATTTGCAACAACACAGATGCAGTTGTATAATGGCAAACAAAATAGAGAAAATAGAGAAAGACAAATACCATATAATCTAATATTTTTCTTTATCTAGAGAAATCTAGGCCCTGGATACCCTGAAATACTATTCTCTGGGCAGTGACAAATCACAGAAGCTTTGTAAGCAGAAAGTTTTGAGATGGGATCTGGGTTTTTAGGAGAACTAATACAGCAGTGATGTGTCAGATAGATTCGGGCTGAGGGCATTAGGGCAGTATTTTAGACAAGAGATCTAGGGCTTGATGTGGAGTTGTGGCAGTAAAATGGGAAGGTAGGGGACGTGTGTAAGAAATGTGAAGGAGGTAGGTTTCAGAAGCTGATTGGCTGAAGGAGGAGGACCTCGGTTGTTGGATGACTGCGGGCTCTGCATAGGATTTAGACTGAATGAATACATTTGTATGTCAAGATTTGTCATCTCAGATCATTATCAGTCTACTCTAAAAGAACTTTTTTCACAAGCGTATTTACTTCCACTGACATTTAGAACACACGGGCCTTTTCCAGAAGCAGGTCTATTTTCTCTCTCTTCACTCTCTTTTTTTGTTGCTTTGCACTTTATGGATTACCTAATTTATTTTCAGGTAATGTTTTCAAGAGTTCTAGTCCTTCCCTGCATTTTGAAATCATAGGGCAGGAAGGAATTTCAGAACATTTACCCTTATGCCTCAAGGCTATAATTGTTTCAGATGGTAAGTTGGCCTTTCAGAATAATCCAGAAGAGAGGATTCCATAGTAACCATCTGTGTCTTGACTGGGTAAAAAGGAGTCCCTCTTTTAACTATTCTTGAGTCTTAACTTGGGCATGGCTTCTACTCCAGTGTAAGCTCTTCTAGTCCTATAAAGGGGATAAGCAAGGTAGCAGCCTCTTCACAATATCCCTAAAAATTGCATTCATGTGGCTGTTCACTTTTTCCATTGAGTGCCCAGAAGTTATGGCCAAGGGACCATTGTGTGAATAAATGTGAAATGCATGAGAAGTTTACATCATTTATGTAAGGATCTCAGTTATTTACCACCCTTTAGTAGATGCCTGCAGAAAGTATGCCAATGATAGGCTTTATTTTTTAAACATCTCAGTAAAGGAAAATTTTGAATTTTTTCAGATGAGAGGGACACCACTATTGATTTATGTATCTTCGCAGTTTTGTTCCAGTGACAGACTTGTTGGAAATAGAGCCAAAGGAGACACTTTTTTATTTTTAATTTAGCAAGGCAGTTGCTATCTTTTATCCAGTTGTCTATGTGTAATTGGAAATGTCTTAAGATAGTAGTTCTGCACCTGCTTTTGGGTCTCCTTTGATAATCTGTTCAAAGGTTATATGGATCTTCCCAGAAAAATGTACTTACGAATTCACATACATTTTTTAATGTGATTTCATAGATGCCAACATATGACTTTTGTTCTTCTAAGTGCAGTTTTTATTTTTGATCAGTATGGCTTCTTTATAAATACATTTCTTTATTCATTCATCAGGTATTCTTGCACACTTACCTCAAGCCAAGCCTGGGTCCAGTATTAAATAAGGCAGGCAAGGATCCTGCCCTCATGGAGCAGGAAACAAATACGATATTCTAGAATTACCTAAAACTATCTTAATTTTACATGCTAGCAAGGAAAAATCAGTTAGTGAAAGAAAGTCTTTGGGGAAGCTCTTTTGTACAGAGTAGATTAGAGTGCTGCTAAAACTACATGGGAGCCTCAGAGGTAAGAAATAAACATAATTCTACAGGGTTCTTAAATATAAAATCAGAGTATTAGAATAGGGATCACAAAGTTCTCCTACCTTGTCCTACAAATGGACGAGTAAGACCTAGAGGCTGGCATCTGGGTGAGAGCTAGGACTGGTTTTCTCACCCCCAGCAGGCACTCTGAGTTGGTCCACTGTGCTTCGTGCCAGTTTTTGGGAACCATAACTCGGCTGCAGCACAGCGATGTGAGGGGCGCAGCACCGACCCCATCTTGTTTCCATTCTGGTCCTTGGCCCCCCAGGTGCCCTCACAAGGGAAACTGTTCACGTCTGCTTTTTCTTAAGATTGACATTAATGGATGATTCATTTCTGCTAGTCTTGAGAAAATATCTCAGTTATTCACTGGAAATGGTAGAAAATCATTTGATCTGATGCTACTAAAAATGGTAAGAATTGTGTTTGCTACATCGGAGAGCAGGTACAACATGAAATTTTTTATTTTCTGTGATTCTTTACCAGCAGTTCACTCAACAGATTACAGAACTATGGGGAAAAAATGGCCCGTAGTTACATTGTGAAACTTGGTTTGATGTTCTTCTTTCTCATTTTAATTCTGTGTCTTTCCTTTTTCTTTCATATGTGTGGTTTCTTAGTACTTGAGTGACTCCTGGGTGTTGGCTGCTAGGGATGCAGTGACAGCCAAAGCAAACATGGCCCTTGTTCTCGTGGAGCTCATGATCTAACGGGGAAGGTGGACATTCATAGAATAGTCATCTTGATGACCACATATTTACAAGCTGAAGAAAAGGGAAAGAAAGACATTTCTCCAACACATGTAACAAAGGGCTGATGGGCTGCAGTGCTTCCCCCTGTGGAAATGATGCTTGAGCTAAGAAGTGAAGAGTGGGGCATGGTAGAAGCATTGACAGAAAGAAAGAGGATGGGCAGCATGTGAAGACTGAGACAAGTAGGGTTTGGTGAGGGTGTGCCTATGGGGGGTGAGGCAGAAAAGGTCCCCAGGATAAATCCCAGGCTCCTGGCTTTGGCAACCAAGTTCTATGTCACCATTCACAAGGATAACATCAGGTGTGGGGTAGGGAAGTCATAAGTTGAGGTTGAAGCGGTTGAGACAGCAATAGTAAGAAGTCAGATAGGCTCTCTTGGGTCTGGAACTCATTGGAGAGGTTCGGGTCGGAGATTAAAATGTACATGTCATTGAATTGCTGTGTACTGTGATTTATACAAGCAGATTATTAATAGAAATGTGGAGTTCTCTGAGATCCCTTGGAACTCTCTATCTAGTGAATTCAGTAAATTAATGCCAGATTACTCTTCTTATCCATAGCAAAAGCTAATCCTTAGTAAATATGGATTTACCTGTATGTTTTTGTTAAATCTTTGCTTCCAATCTTTTCTAGTGCTTTTCTAGCAAGTGTATCAATCTTAATGTATTAAATTGTTCTCTAGGGGGAAAAAAGAAAACATTTTCATGAACTTGAAACATGCTAATAATATGTTTAAAATAATAGACTTTTAAAAAATGTTTCTTTTCTCTAGATTTGATGTTGAATTTGTTCTCTCAGCACCTACTTCTGAATGGAATGGCAAACGGGGATACATTTCACCAGCTCTTCTTTCTCAATTTTTGAAAAGAAGTTTAGACAACTCCAGAGTCCTCATCTGCATTTGTGGACCAACACCATTCACAGAACAAGGAATAAGGTGAGTAGCAATGTGGTAGGGAAAAGAATACTCTATGCAAATCTTCCATAAAAAGCAATTGACTTAGCCCTCTGTTCTTCCCATTCATACAAACCGACACTGCAATAGTCTGTTACAGTCTAAGAAAACAGTAAAGTTTTTAACCTTCATGCAGGAAGGAGGTTGGAGGCCAGGTTTATGCATGGAGTTAGATGTGAGTGATGATTTCTGCTAATGACCCGCAGTATGGATACATATTCACAAGTTTGGTGCCACAGTCTTAGGTGGGACATTGGATTCAACCTCTTCTTCCACCAAAGCTTTATAACATATAGGAATTAATAAGCACTGTTCATCTCATTGTAGCTTTTGACTTTTCTTCATTCTCTGCAACTAGGAAAAGCTAGTAAATTATAGTGATTGAAAGCCAGACAGTAAGACAGAAGGAGAGGCTGGAACATAAATAAGCAAAGACTGAGAGTTGACTCTGGATAATGAAACATCAGTGGTGGTATTCATCTTATTTGAAATTCACCTTGCTCTGATTTAAATCTAAAATGACACTTTAAAATAGCCCAGTGATGGGTGTTAAGGAGGGCACATACTGCATGGAGCGCTAGGTGTTATATGCAAACAATGAATCACGGAACACTACATCAAAAACTAATGATATACTGTATGGTGACTAACATAACATAACATAACATAACATAAATAATAAATAAATAAATAAATAATAAAAATAAAATATTTCATTAAATGTAGCCACTATTGGGTGTCTAGGTGATTTTAAAATATGACTGCCTTAAATGCCCTGTTTTTCCTTGTTTTTGATATATGACTAAACCTAACATTTTCCTGGATAGTTTTCTCTCTTGCTTTTTTATTTTTAATTTTAATTAAGAAAAAGATTGACCTCGGGGCGCCTGGGTGGCTCAGTTGGTTAAACGACTGCCTTCGGCTCAGGTCATGATTCCAGAGTCCTGGGATCAAGCCTCGCATCAGGTTCCCTACTCATGCAGGAAGCCTGCTTCTCCCTCTGCCTGCCGCTCCCCCTGCTTGTGCTCTTACTCTGTTTCTCTCTCTCTTGCTATCTCTCTCTCTGTGTCAAATAAATAAAATCTTAAAAAAAAAAAAAAGATTGACCTCAATAAATAAAGACATTGAGAAATGTTTCTTTCCATGTTGCATTTTAAAAGTATTTTAATTAAATTTAAGTTTATTTCTGGATTTTAATACCTTCAGAAATGTTCTTTTGTTTAAGTACTCTCAAAATTTTTAAAAAATATTACAATTTAAACTCTTTTAATCTTTCAAAGTTAAAACAAAACTATTAAAATTATAGTGGAGACTAATAATATGGTTTGAAGTAAAATAATTTTTCAAAAAGAAAAAGGCTAAGAGCTACATTCTTCAACTTTATCGACACTGCTATTTTAGATGTATCTTAATGCTTGCTTTATAGATTGCAGCATAATAATCCTTTGAAATAATGGGAATCATAAACTCTTCAGCATTGAAAGAGACTGTCTTTAAGGCCACTTAGCACAATTAACTGACTGAGGAAGAATCCTTTGTCCAGCCTCCTAAAGAAGTGGGTTGTTTTCTCCCATGAATGATGGGCTATTTGTGGGTTCTTCCTTCTCGTTCTCATTCCGTGCAAGGCTTAGCCCACTTCCTTGCACACTGGAGCCTCGGTGTGTGTGGAATTGAACAGAAGGGAGCCAAGATCCTAGTACGTCTGCATTTTTAAAATTGACTATAATCTCTACAGCTTTAGTTTCTCAGCGTTACCTCAGGGCCAGTCTTTCCGTGCTGCACTAGCTGGCTTGCCTAGGATTGCTCAGGAGTGTTCCTGATCATCATCTATGGATCCCTGCTTTTGCTCACCTTCGAACATGCTGCATGGAGTTGCCTTGTGAGCTGTAGCCTGATTCACATCAGTACAGGCACACCTCGTTTCAGTGCTGCTCTTCACTTGATTGTGCTTTGCAGATACTGCATTTTTTTTTTTTTTTAACATATCGAAGGTTGGTGGCAACCCTGCATCGAGCAAGTCCATCGGTGCTATTTTCCCAACAGCATTTTCTCACTTTATGTCTCATTTTAGTAATTCTCACAATATTTCACCCTTCTTCATTATTATTACATTTGTTATGGTGATCTGCAATCAATGATTACAACTTGCCGGGAGCTCAGATGATGGTTAGCATTTCTTAGCAGTAAAGTATTTTTTAATTAAATAAGGCAGGCAAAGATCTTTTACATTTTTTTTTAGACATAATGCCATTGCATTTTTTTTTTAGACATAATGACACTGCACACTTACTAGACTATAGTGTAAAAATAACTTTTATATGCATTGGAAAACAAAAAATTCATTTGACTTGCCTTCTTGCAATATTTGCTTTATTGCAGTGGTCTGGAACTGAATCCACAATATCTCTGAAGAGTGCCTGTACTTGCAATTCATAACATCTGCCCTTGTGACATCTAATTTAAGACTCATTTCTTTGATTTCCTTGCCTTGACCATCTTAATGGATGTGGTGTATCTCTTACTTGGCAGTTACTTGGATCTCTTACTATATCATAGTTTTTGCTGTCCTGAAAAATGACTCTGTGATGCCCACTCCCTAAGGCCCTCCAAAGTTAATCTCATGTCTGCTATGTATGTATAACCATATCAAACATACTCTCCATATTTGGTGAAAATTTGTTAAATTTGTATGATACGATAACAGAGAAAGACTCAGAAATGGATTTTATTTTAATATAAAGAGCAAGATAATTACTTGCTCAGTAAAGGTGCTTTCGTTTACTAAATACCCACTTGTTTATTACCTAGATAAATAAAACAGTCTCCTCTCTCGAGGCCCACCCTATCTAGCGGTGGAAACAGTTGCACACACTGGTAACTAAAATATGACTCAGAATATCATAAACACTCTTATGAGAGGTAAAAACGAAGTGTTAATGAAAATTCAGGAAGAGGCAATTTACTTCTACTTAGGGGTAGTGTATTGGAGAGAGAGGAGCTGCATGCTGAGAAAGACCTGTTCTCTGAGTGATGGCCAAAATGTTGCCAGTCAGAGGAGGTGGAGAAGGGTAGGGTAGGCAGAGGAACAAGCAGACACTTTGAGGATGCAGGTATTCAAAAGACGAGACTGGCATGGCCAGTGTGAAGCCACTAGCCGATGAGGGACAGTGAGCGTGGCTGGACAGGTGGGATGAGTTCAGCCAGGGAGAGGCTTGACTGTTGCACCAAGTTGGCCCTGGGGCTCCTATGCCATACTGTTATTTTGTCTGAATATGTGTGTATGTCTAGAAGCTGCTAACTTATGAATCTGAATCCCAGCTCTAGCACTCACAGTCATCTTGCAATCACTAATCGGGTGTCCTAGAGCCAATTACTTATCCTTTCCAAGCTTTAGTGCACTCATCTGTACAAGGGAATAAATAATATTGTTTAGGCATGTGAAATGCTTAGCACAGTGACTACATATAGTGAGTACTAAATAAATGTTTTTGTTTTCAGCAAAATTTTTTGTTTTTTATAACATACAGTGTTATGTTAGTTTCACGCATACAATATAATGATTCAGCATTTCTGTACATTACTCAGTGTTCATCACAGTAAGTGTACTCTTGATCCCCTTTATCTATGTCATCTCATCCCCACTGGCAACCCCCGATTTGTTCTTCGTATTCAAGAGTCTGTTTTTTTTTTTTCTTTTTTGTTTGTTCATTTTGTTTCTTAAACTCCACGTGAGTGAAATCATATGGAATCAGATGCTTGTCTTGTTCAGTTTAGGAGAATGAAGATAGAATGCTAGGAGGATCAACTCCTTACTTTGAAAACTGGTGAATAAAGGGGGGGAAAATATGCATTTATTCTGCCTTTTCTGTATGAGCTATATTACTGAGTAACTACATAATAAATTAGCAGAAGTTTGTTTTTCTCTATAGAATTCCTTAGCTGATAAGTAAAGAAAGAATTATAGTAGGTGTCAGCAACTTTAGTCCCTAATGAACTAATGGATGTGTACGTAGATCACCAATGGTTGTTAGCATTCAAAAAGAGAGGCAGTCAGGTATTATGTGCTATTAAAGTACACCATAAAGATGCAGCAAAATGAAGTCTCTGGGAGGCTCAACACATAGAAATCTGATTTTGTCAACAAAGAAATTGCAGGACAAAGAGAGAGAAGGGATATTGTAGCTCAAAAGATACCTAAAAGACATCAGCCAATCACAATGGGTAGACTTTAAATTGGCATTAAACAAACTTAAAAATTATGGCATCTATTAGACAATTGAAAATTTGAACACTGACTAGATATTTGATGATATCAAGAAATGATTATTAGTTTTTTAGAAGTGATAATTGTGGGTTTTTTTTTTTTAGAAAGTACATGCTAAGCGGGGAAAATGAAAAAATACTATGTTTATGATGGTAAACTTTGATCTTACTTCTTTATTTTTAAACATTTTCCCAAAGAAACATGTCCTTTGTATTTGTTTTTCAGGTTGCTGCATGATCTGAACTTTTCCAAAGATGAGATCCATAGTTTTACAGCATAATGAAGAGCTGTCATTGTCCTTTATTCAACTGTTTTGTCTAAATTTGTGATTACTTAGGATTTTTTAAGAGCACATTTTTGTACATACTAAAAGGTCAGCTAGAATCCAGGTTTCAGTTTCTTCAATGAAATCAACTGTTCCTTCAGTATAGATGATTTGTTGACTTTATTTTGTACCATAACTTATTTTACTACTGATCTCTGACCTGGAATCTATCATGGCAACAAGTCCATACAGGAATCTTTTGTGATGAGTCACAAACTTCCTTACCATTTAAAGTGTATCACTGTTCTACAGTAAGCTCTTGTGTTTTATGACATGATAAAGTAAATGATCATTTTGATCACATTTCTATGCCGTAAAATGTCTTATTAGCAATACAGATTAAATTTTACATTGCACTGTTAACTCAGGAAATGATCGTTTATGTCCTTGTATTACTATTAAAACATGGAATGTTATAACTTATTAAGTGATCCATTTTGTGTGTGTGAGTGTGTGTGTGTGTGTGTGTGTGTGTGTGGCACTGATACAGAGTAGAATAAAAGTATAAGTACTTTTTAATTCTTGTGGTGGAAATGTGTTTGAGTGCAACAATATCCCCCCTATGTCTAAGGGGAATTTAAAAGGCAACAATATAAGATTCTGGAGACACTTCACATAGGCAGTTTTGGATTAGATGTGTCAGAGAGTGGAAGAGAATCTTAACAACTCTTTTGATTCCTAGCCAAAATTAGAGGTGTCAGGAAGGATCATGAAAGTGTAGCATCTGGTCCCATGACCTAAAATAATCATTTGGTGCTTTGGAATGGGTTAAACTGTAGTTCTTTTTGAGCCCATCTAGAGGCACACTGTGTCCTAAATGCTACCTTTCCCGGCTGCTTCCCGCACACCTGGCAGTTCAGCAGGGCGCCCTCCTGCGCTCTGCTGTGTGGGTGATTTATTCCC